GTCTGTGTACAACTTAAAGATTTCAAATTCAGCCCCCATGTATGCATGGTTCTCACGTACGGACACGTGAAAGTTTTAGCTGGCAAATTGGTTACTGAACAGCTAGGTCATTATCAAGGAACAACCGTTAAATATGAATTATTTATTTTTCTTTGTACAAAATTTGCAATGATTTACGCTAATGAGTACAGGAGGTGAATGTAAGGCAATAACTATTCAGACAGTCAAGTTTAGTGCAAAAAACGCACGATTGCATTCCAGCCTAGGGTTATTGTTACCTCCAATGATCTCATTTCCAATCTTTTTACATTGTAAATAAACGTATAAAAAGGTTCTTGCCCTTTCCTCCTTCGTATTATTTTTTCTTATTCCAAGTAACAACAGGTTTCATTTTTATCAATTACGGCGGCCCAAAAGCGTATTTGTGCAGATTTCTGCGGCGCCTAATTTCAAAATTCGTTGTTGGTTTGTGAGATATTCACAGCTGTCCCCAGTGAATTGAAATCATTAGACCCTGCATGCACCTCTCAAATAGCAAAATTGGATTGTGTGGGATCCGGCTTACGAGTTCATTAGATCTCTTCAAAGCTCTCAAAAATTGTGAACATGGCGGCAGGGATTGAGAGATATTATGTATGCTTTCGATCTTTGTCAAACTCGCTTTCCAGAGAGGGTTGCTGGGAAGAAGCTCTCCTCTCAGCAGCAGGCTTGCTGGCCATCAATATCATTCGTTTTGTGAAAATTTCCCTGTTCTCTTTTTACCGGATCCCTCATCAAGACGGTTTTTTTTTTTTTTCTCTCATCTCCTTCCTCTTTTTTATTTGCTTGTTCTAAATATCGAAATTATTATAAAACTTGTGATAGATAGAAAAAAAAGCATTCTAGAACGAAATTATTTTCTGACATAATAAAAACTTTGAAATCGCAAGATCAACACTTATCATAATAAAAAAAAATTTAACACATTTAGAACGAAATTATTTGTCTGATTACAATAAAAAAAGCTTTTGGAGTCTCAGGATTTTGTTAGACAAAAAGCAGTCTTCACACAGTCCAGACCTATTATCACAGATATTAAATTTAGGCTAATTTTGTATCTCGGAAATAATGAAAGCCACAAGTCATAAATTTCGATAGGAAAAAAACGGGAGCAATTTGTGCTTTGGGATAACCAGTTGTTATTGTACCTTGGCCTACGACCTTAGGTCCAATTTCAGGATAATTTCATAAATCTGTAACCGGAGAAGCTGTTGGCAAAAAATTCGGCCGATAAATTCGCTAAGTGATTAGAATCAAATACCCTGAAATCAGATTGGGCGCTCTACTTCATTCTGATTTATGACTTTGGCATCAAGTTCGTGCAAAATTCGCAACCCGAGAACCAGGAAAGTTTCCAACTTGGAATTTTGGTAGATTAATTCAGCCCATAGTTCAGGGCAAAAAAAAAGAAACAAGAAATCAGTTTCCAGAACATTGATCTCTAATCCCACCCCCAAATTTAGGCTGATTTTGTGATTTCTAACTGCTGAATTTTGTAATAGCTTATTGTAAAATTGCGTGATCGTGCCAGCCCCGTTTTGCATATCGCCAATTTTTTTTTTTTTTTTTTATTATTTTTGATTGGAATAGTAAATTTGCATTTTTTGAAAGGTCTGAGTACGACTTTTATTGAAGTTATGCATTTCTGTTTTGGAAAAATAATTTTTTTGGGCTGCTCATGATTGTGCTCGGCCGGAAGTATTGCTTATTGACGTGTTAAAGAGTGTAATTCTACTGGTCAATTGACATTTTACAAACCCAGGGAGTTTTTGTTCGGCTCATGATAAGGTGCAGAAACGGTGCAGTATTCCACCCTAAACCAATCCAGTGTTTTGTTTGCATAGTTACGCACATAAAATTGTTTTTTTTTTTTTTAATCATTGCTTGTGATGGCCTGCTGTTCCTCATTCTGCTTCTTCCAAGCTTTTAATGACCATAAAAAACACTAGAAATTGATACGACGTTGTGGGCAAGGTGCAGTGGGAAGTAATACAGTTATCGTGGGTTCGACTCCGCCGGTGAGCCAGCTAGTCTTCCACTACCATTTGCTCATTTATTTCGATGATAAATTGGAACCGGCATGTGCAAACCTCCCATCAGCTTACTTGTAAGCCACTCTTGAAAGAGGAAGCCATCGACAGTCTTGCCAGCGAGTGGTTGCTGTTTGCTCCAGCTCGAACTGCTGCCGTTTTTGCTTTTCATAGAAAGTGAATGCGGGAATGGTTTTGATTTTGACTGCCCATAAGTACTGGTCAGAAAATATTTTAAAAAACAATTTAAGAATTTATGTCGTCAGTGCCGCACAATCGCCGTAGAATATTAATTTTTCGACATGGTGAAAGATGCGACTATTATTTTCGAAAAAGAGGTCAGTATATAATTATGTGGCGCATAGCAATTGGTCACTACTTGAAATGTACCCTGTGCTTGGGATGATTCTCGAATAATGCGAGCTGACCCCACTGTCGTGCTGAATAGAGCAAATTAGCGAATCCTCTAGAGGACAATTTCAAATGCCCATTTAGGACTACCTTGGATTATTCTAATCGAACTTGTTGTGACACATACCAGCGTATATCGCTTCAGCTCACATGTGGAATTGTCCACTTATAAAAATTTTTCACGGGCTTCTTGAGCCTGGAAATTTTCCGTCGTTATGCAAGGTCACTATACAACACACTGGTACCTGCTTATATCAGGCTTACGGGGCTTATGTCCTAGAATTCCTCACTACACTTCTTTCATCCACGAAAAAGGCCTTTCATTGGACATTCTAAACCTTAGCACCTCATTTTTTAATAAATTTCTGATCAGTATTTTTTTCTTTTAATTGAAGGAATCGATTGGATGAAGGAAGCTTTTGGTGTTGGAAAACACTACTGTAGGTTTGATCCTGAAATGCCCAAAGAAATACCATCCAGAGATTCCGGCGTTGATGGGTACGCCGGTGACCCACCTCTCACAAACCGTGGATTTCGAATGGCAATCAATGCAGGTGTGATGCTTTTAACAGAATCTGCTTTCCCTCTTTTACCATTTTTGTTTTGCTCGCTGCTGAAATACCAAGAATACCAGGACTTCTTGACCGTATGAAGGGTTTTACGTTAGTGATTTTATTAAATAACGAAGCCAGAATTTTGTTAACCATTTGCCTCTGCCCTTTGGCTGGTTTTGGCTTCATGCAAAACTAAAAATCAAAAGACGGGCTTCAGTGGAAGTTGCATTTATCTTATCAGCTGCTCTGCCTCTGTCCCTCTCCTGTTGCTTTCTTGTGAAATTGTCTACTGGTCAGCAATGACGATGAGGTTGAAGAGTTTTATGTTGAGCTCGATTTCAGTCTAGTCGTTAGTCCTACGTATTCGGTCGTTATGGGAAATTTCAATGCAAAATTTGGCCAGGATGGAATGGGTAGGATGAGAAGGGTAAATGTCCTAGCGAAAAAAAAAATTGTTTAATAATTATTGAATATCCTTATTCTCTACCACTGCTTTGCTGCCTGCTAGTACGGGACGCTCATGTCAAAGTCACTCAAAAATTCC